TCGGGTTTGGGAGCCGGGGGGGTCTTCTCCCACTCTTCTCAGCCCACGTGGCAGCGGGTGTTTGCGGAAACTCTGGGAATGTACAGACATGCTTGTGTCCTTCCTGCCAAACCTTGCCCCTCCGAGTGGGGCTGCTCTTGGGCGATAAATCCTGCTGGAGGAAAAGGGAGCCCCTCAGGGTGCTGCCGAAAATGACCAGGCGGCGGGAGGACCACACAACCGGGGCACTCGCAAGATTCAGAAAAGGCACTTTTATTGCAGGAGCACCGGTGCTGCTGACTCAGGGGGATCGGTTCCCAAAGCTGAGCCCCGAATGCAGCGGGGCTTTCTCTTAAATTGCCCTAAGTTTTCTTTGTCTCTCAGCTTCCGGGCTTTTCTCGGGCTTTTGCAGCCCCTATGATGGTTGTAAGGGGGAAGTGAGATTATGACTATCGGCCCTGGCTGGCGCCAGCAGTCAACCCCCCTGTGGGGGCTGTGCATGATCGATGGCCCTGTAAGTTAAGTGTTTAGCGAAACAGGTTTTGCAAGGCTGGGGCACAAGCGGGAAGGGGGTTGGGGCTGAATTATAGGTTAGCATAGGTGCCAGAATGCCGACTCAAGCTGCCAGCCCAGTTGCCTTCACACAGGGGGCTGAGGCCATGCTCAGGTTAGAGGGGCTCCCTGCAGTGAGCGTCAGAGACGTGCTGAGCACACAGGCAGAGGCTAGCATCCTCGCCAGCAGGGTCTCTGGCCCCAGAATTGATGCTGGTGCTGCCAGGATGGCGGGGCAGGGTCCTCACGGGAGGTGAGGGTTCTAGTCTCTATTTTCTACATTTGGGCTCTTGTGTTCTCATTGGAACAAGCACTTTTAGTACAAAATGAAAATCTAAACGCACTTTGTTAAAGACCCCATTTTCTCTCCTTGCCCTTTTCTACAACACGAGAAATTTGTGCAAGGGGCTCTGCCTTGCAGCTGCAGCAGCTTGCCTCAGCCCTTGCAGCCCCAGCTTTGTCCGGAAGGTTGGCTGTCCAGTCTAATTAGCATATTACATGTTGATTATTATAGATTACCAACGAGAGGTAACCATAAAGCTAAAAATAGCCACCAAATTCAAAATCATCCAACAGAAAATTTTTAAGGGAGTTTAATCATGCTGTCCCCCTCTCCATCCAAGGTCACCTTTTAGTTTGAAATTTATGGGCCTCCCATCCTACCATGAGGAGTTTTCTGCTTTAAAATTCAGAGATAGGCCTGGCCAGAGTGGCTCAGTTGTTGAGCATCAACCTATGAGCTGGGAGGTCACAGTTCGATTCCCAGTTGCAGGCTCGAGCCCCCATGTGGAGCATGCAGGAGCAGCCAATTAGTGATTCTCATTGTTGATATTTCTATCTCTCTCTCCTTCTCCCTTCCTCTCTGAAATTAAAAAAAAATATTTTTTTAAAAATGTAGAGATACTGTATTTGTTATAGTGACCACAGTGACCACATTTGCCTCAGTACCATTACCCCCAATTCCCCATTCCGTCCTAGAACCATACATCTAGCAATAGAATAAAGAAATGCTTTAAACACAACCCAACAAAAATGTATGCTTAACAATGTTTGGGAAAT